GAGGAGAGCCTCTATGACCTGGCACCCAGTGAGCCCAAGAAGCACGAGCTGTCCGACATCTCCGAGCTGCCCGAGAAGTCGGACAAGGACAGCACCAGTGCCTACAACACAGGGGAGAGCTGCCGCAGCACCCCACTGCTCATGGAGCCCCTGCCTGAGAGCCCCCTGCAGCGGGCCGCTGCTGGCAACTCCAACTTGAACCGGACCCATCCTGGCCCTGCTGCTGCTACCCCGCCGAAGGCAGCTCCTCCGCAGGGCAGCCCGGCCAAATTCCGATCTCTGTCCCGGGATCCTGAGGCAAGCCGGAGACAGCACACAGAGGAGCGTGTCCGCCGCAACCCCAAGGCTGGGGTGGCCCTGGAGCGCGTGGGCCCTGAAGGCAGCCCTTACCTTTCGAGGCGCCACCATGGCCAGGGTCAGGAGAGCCAGCACTACCACAGCTGCGTCCAGCTGGCCCCAACGCGAGGCCTGGAGGAGCTAGGCCATGGCCCCCTGAGTTTGGCCAGCGGTCCTCGGGTGGGTGGGGTGGCGGCCAATGAGGTGCCCCGCATGGAGTGGAAAGTGAAGGTGCGCAGCGACGGGACCCGCTATGTGGCCAAGCGGCCCGTGCGAGATCGGCTGCTGAAAGCCCGGGCCTTGAAGATCCGGGAAGAGCGCAGTGGCATGACCACTGACGATGATGCGGTGAGCGAGATGAAAATGGGCCGCTACTGGAGCAAGGAGGAGCGGAAGCAGCACCTGATCCGGGCCCGGGAGCAGCGGAAGCGGCGTGAATTCATGATGCAGAGCCGGCTGGAGTGCCTGAGGGAGCAGCAGAACAGTGACAGCAAGCCTGAGCTCAACATCATAGCCTTGAGCCACCGCAAGACCATGAAGAAACGGAACAAGAAGATCCTGGACAACTGGATCACCATCCAGGAGATGCTGGCCCACGGTGCTCGCTCGGCTGACGGCAAGCGGGTCTACAACCCTCTGCTCTCAGTCACCACCGTGTGAGCCACCCTGGCGGAGCTGGCCCAGGCCCAGGGAGCCTCCTGGGTCCTGGCCCTCACTCCTTAGAATCGAGTGTGCTTCTGTGTGCATGCACGCCGTGTCTGTGTGTATGCACAGGGCTCTGTTAGTATCACCTGCTTCCTTCTCCCCAAGCAAAGTGACCGTGTTGGCAGCCATCACCAGGGGCACACCTGTAACAGGCACTCCTTCAGCTGTGTGTCCATGTGCATACATCTCACACACACACACGCACACATAGACAGCTGTCCCAACCTGTGTACTTGGAGATAAGGAAATCGAGCTGCAAAAGAGAGGTGAGGAAGACTGTCCTAAGCACAAGAGAACTTCCAGCTTCGCTGCTGAGCACAGCCTCTCCCCACTGCTGTGAGCTGCAGTGAGTTGTAGACAAAGGCAACCCTGATTGTTGTGGTTTTTCTCCCCTTCTGTGCTTGCTAATAGTCATTTTTCTGTTTTGTGGACCTGCTCTGGGCTCCTTCAGGCAGCCTATCAAAGGTGGAACCCTCCCCTCCAGTGATAGCTGGGAAGGAGGTGGGGGGAGGAGAGGGAGGGCTGGGGTGGGAGGGAAGGGAGGGAAAGGTGGGAGGAATGGGAAGCAGCTGTCCTGGTGGCTACTATGCTGAGGTCTGTCTCCAGTGACCGAGGGAGAGTGAGACTGCAGGGACTGAGGGGCAGTGTCCATCCAAGAAGAAATCGTGGAGTCCGGGTCTGTGTCTGACGCCCTCCGGAGCAGGGGCTTGAGTGCCCTGAGGTGGGTGCTTCAACAGCAAGAGTACAGAAGCCAAGCCCCATGAGCACTGGTGGAAGAGCTCAGATCGTCTGGCCTGGGAGGACTTGCTGGCCATCTGTGGCCTGGGCCTGAGTGAGGTGGTGGACTGACTGGGGGGATGCCCCGACATCCTCAAGTTCCAAATGGGTGAACTGGGCTGCCCCTCAGGCTTGGAGCCCCAGCTGGAGGCAGACAGGCTTTGCCACCCCTGCCCCTGCCTGCATCTCGAGAATAAAGCAAGCTCCCTTTTTTACTTGGTTGAATCGAGGCCTCCCTGTGTTCCTTCTCACTGTGCTACTGCTGCCCGGGTGGTGGTGGGGGACAGAGGTGGGGCAGGGCCAGGGCCAGTTTAAAGCCATGCTCCAGCTCACCTCAGTTTGTCACTGAGGAACAGTGAGGTCCTCTGAAGTCAGTGAGCTCCCGTGGGCAATCGTGTGGGAGGTGTGGCATAGTCACGGGGGTGGTGACCAGATACGGGATGGCCACGGTCACCTCCACGGACAGAACTGAAGGTGGCCTGCTGCCGGCATGTGGATGAGGGAGGCTGTACTCGACCTCCTATTGCCTGTGGGAAGTGGGTTCCACCCCTACCCCCACCCCCTCAGTCCAGGAGGAGGCCTGGTAGGGCAAGGAGCTGCAAGCTTCTGGAAGGCAGAAGCTGCCTCTCCCATTTGGGGATACCATAGTGCCCAGCAAGGTGCCAGGTATGTAGAAGGCACCGAGTGAATGTCTTTTGGCCAGACAGACAAACATGAGGTGGCTGCAAGTACCCTTCTGTCTCAAGAACTCTCAGGGACTGCCAAATGCCCACAGTACCATTCAGCACAGCCATTGGGCATTTGCCAAGCGTCAGAGCCATGCTAAGCACTGAGTGAGGGCGGCAAAGACAACTCCAGGAGCGATATGGGTGCTGCCTGCTGCATGAGTGGTACCCCCTGGAGAGGCAGTGTTGCTGTAAAGGAGCTTGGTCTCCTGGACAGACAGGAGCTGGAGTGGGCGAGGGTGCATTACAATTCTTTAGAAAGAAAACGATATAAACAGGCCTCTCCCAAGATCCCGGCAGCAAGTCAGTGACAGATGAAATGCTGAGAAGGGCATGAGTGATAATGCCCTGGAGTTCCTGGAAGCCTGGAGTTTTGCTGCCCACAAGGCTACAGGCCAATCTGTCTATGCAGCGTGGGAGGGATGGTCCAGCAGGTCACACCCAGTGAGCTGGGAAGGGAGGCAGGGGAGCAGAGGGTGGGGCCTGGAGATGCTGGCTCTGCCACCCCTCTCAGGGTCTCCCTAGCAGAGGGCTTGACACACCCAACTCTAGTGACCAGCCCCCAGCCCTTGCCCCTTGGGAGAAGGCTCCAAGGACCTGGCCCATGTCACAGAGAACTGGCTGGAGTTGATCAAAGTCTGAGGCAAACTCCCTCCCCAAACACCCCTCTCTAGTTGCTGAGGGGCTCACTTCGATGGCTCTACAGAGACACTTCATTCTCCTCTGGTGGGGTGCCCTCCAGTGCTTATAGGATATGGGCCAAGACAGGACCAGAGCTTGGAGTGCCTTGGCTGGCTCAGGAAGAAGTGGCACCAGGCGGGCTGGCAGCCCTTGGCTACTTCTGCCCAGGAACAGCAACTTCACATTCAGATCCATTGGGCTGGGTGGTGGAGCCAGACCAAAATAAGCAACTTGGCAGTTGACAGCTGCCACTGTGTCCACTCCACCCTGCCTAAGCCTCCCACCTGGTGGGTACCTGCCTGCTAGCCCTGCACAGGCTGTTGGCAGAATACTGGGAACGGTCCTCATTTGCTACTTGGCCAGTGAGGGGAGTAGCTATTGTTCCCAGTGCTGGTCTCCATCTCTGGAATCCAAAAACTCCATCAGCTGGCAAAGCTAGTGTGGCCAGGGCCTCAGTGGCCTTCCAGCCCCAACTCTCCTGTTGTACTGTTATGGGGTGAGCACCCAGCTCTTCCTAGGAGCCTTCCCACTGCCCCGCATACTACTTGGCAGACAGACCTGGGGCTGCAAGTTGCCCCCATACCCCCAGCCCCTCCAACTGCTTCGCTGGCAGAGCCCAGGCAGGGGAGTGAGCTAGGTACTGAGGAGCCCCTGCCTTCCTTTTCAAGTACAGCCTCTCTGGAGTGTTCTGTTTCTCTCCAGTAACAGCCATGATAAGCGGTCACCCAGGTGCCTGAACTTTGCCAGCTGGTCCCAATGACCCTTCACTGACACCTTAAAGTAGGTGTTACCATGTCACAACTGGGAAGGGCTCACCTGGGATTTGTACCTGGCCCTTTGTACCCCAGGGCCCTCACTACCTCACGAGGTGTTGGTGGCACTAAGAAACATGATTCAACTGGCCAGTGCCTAGCATGCACTAGGCCTGTAAAGTGGGCCGGTAGGAGGGCTGCCTGCTGGCATCCTGAGAGCATTGGTACTCTATGGAGAGGGAGTGATGGGCCCCTCAGAAGTGTGGGAGTGTTTCCTAACCTGCCATCTGGAAGGAAAAGCACACTGGGAAGTGGCACTGAGCAGCCAGGGCGCAGGGACTACAGGGACTAGCCCCTGGGACAGCTGTGTGCTGCAGGCAGCTGGTTCACATGCCAGCTTTGACCACATCAGCAAGATGGGGGTGCTCACTGTGCTCACCAAGCAAAGAACAGAAAGTGCCTCAGTGTGTGGCTTGTGCCCAGGCTCAAACACAGGAGCCAGTATAAAGACAAGGCTGGCTGTGTCTCCATTTGTGACTGCAGTGCTGACTACTGGATTTGGGGGAAGCTGGGAAGGGCCTCTGCCTTCTCTGACCAAGCCAGATGCCACTCCCACTGGCAGGTGTGGCAGAGCAGCCCTCCTCCCCGATCTCCACTCAGCCAGGCCAGGAAGGTCAAAGGGCCCTTCCAAAGGCTGCCACAGGAAGACTCGCCCCAGACAGGTGGTAAGCTGGAGACACTGCTGTGCCACAGGGACTGGGACAAGAGAGAACAAGCAGAGTCTTCTTTGCTAGATGAGGTCATATGCTGGGAAGGAGGGGGACAACCCCCATACCATGCAGGCAATCAGGAAGGAGACAAAGGGAAGGCAGACACATGGCACCATGGGGACCAGACGGGAAGGCTTCGCCTGAGGAGAAAGGGGAGTCCCGGATCGAAGGCAGCCCCCTACCCACTCAGTGCTTCTGCTATCCAGGCAGACAAGGGGATGCTGGGCCCCAGCAAGCAAGCCAGGATCCCTGTGTTCCAAATGTGTTCGTGATGGCCAGTGACTGTTTATTGAAAGAAGCAAGGGAGGGCTGAGGATGCAGCCCTCAGGCCTGGATGTGGCTCTTTGCACTGAAGGCCAGGTAGTAGATCACTAAGCCAATTGCTGCGGCCAGCACCTCAGTGGAGACCCAGGGCCCATTCCAGGTGCCCTGCAAGAAAGGAAATCAAAAGCCAGCTCAGGGAGGGACAGGCGAATGGACCAGCTAGCCCCAGTCACCCTCCATCAGGGGGACGAAGACATGCTGGCCAATCATGGCCAAACAGGTAGGGCTGGGGTTGCAGAGACGACGAGAAATGAGAACCTTCACTCAGCCCTGACCCCCCAAAAAAGAAAAGGAGTGCCATGAGCTCCTTGTTCCCCTAGGACCAGGCCACTCACCCGATGGTCCACACTGACTGTGAATAGGGGCGGGATGATTGAAATGTCCTCGTTATTTCTCTGAGCCTGGAAGGGAGGTGCTGGGGTCAGGCAGTGCCAGATGGGCTGCCCAAGACCCAGAAGAGGAGAGAAATGGGCAAGAGACATGCGAGGAAGGGCCAGGTGGACCAGCAGCACAGGAAGGTGCCTACCTGGCTCAGAACTTGCTGCCAACACCTTCCCCATTTACCCCATCCTGCCCTGCATAAGCAAGGCCCCCAGTGGGCCAAAGCTCCAGGGAGAAGGGACCACAGGGAGAGCAGGCTAGACATCACTGCAGAAATGGGATGTGCCCTCCCTCCCTCGGGCCTCAGAGGGCTCCAGGCCATACCCACCTTCCTTAGGAGGCTGTAGGACTCCTCATCGAAGAATCTGACCTCATAGGTACCTGCATGTGCGCTCTTGTGGTCCAGGCTCCAGGACACCTGGGTTGGGTGTGTTGGTAGGGGGTGGGCAGAGTGGACACATGAAGGGCTTCCCTGCCAGTGCTGACACAGCACTGTCCCTGAGTCCACGACCCCTAACCCTGCTCAACTGAGCCAACTCAGGGCTTCAAGTCAAGCCCATGAGCAGGCAGCCTCCCTCAACAATCTCAAACTCAGCACCCCTTACCTGATAACGCCCCACATCCTGGCCCCGGGTGACAGGGAATTGTTTTCCACCGACGTCAGCATAAAGAGCCATGTTCTGGGTGAGGAGACAAAGGGAGAATCACCTTCTCCCCTCTCGGTATGAGCAGAGGCCCCACTGTGCTGCCTGGACCAGTGCCACGGCCTGTGGGCAGGGAGGCCAGGCCCAGCGGGGGGCTGCAGCATGTCCGGCAGGAGGCACCATGCAAGAACCACAGAGGTAGGCCTGGCACAACCCAGAGCCATCTAGAAAACCAACTGTCACTATCTGTGTCTGTCTTCCCTGACAGGGGACAGGGTTAGATCCCCCCTATGGCCTGATCTAACTTGACTCACAGCAAGCCTATTAACTGTGAACAGGGGTGGGATGTTTAAAATGTCTGTGTTAGTTCTCTGAACCTGCAAGGGAGGTACAAGGGTCAAGGATTACCAAATGGCTGTTCAATGGGTATTTCACCAAGAAATATTGTTATTTTTATTTATTTATTTTTTTGAGACAGAGTCTTGCTTTGTTGCCCAGGCTAGAGTGAGTGCCGTGGCATCAGCCTAGCTCACAGCAACCTCAAAACTCCTGGGCTCAAGCAATCCTACTGCCTCAGCCTCTCGAGTAGCTGGGACTACAGGCACATACCACCATGCCCGGCTAACTTTTTCTATATATATTAGTTGGCCAATTAATTTCTTTCTATTTATAGTAGAGACGGGGTCTCGCTCTTGCTCAGGCTGGTTTCGAACTCCTGACCTCAAGCAATCCACCGGCTTCAGCCTCCCAGAGTGCTAGGATTACAGGTGTGAGCCACCTCGCCTGGCCCTGTTATTTTTATATATTTATTTTGATACAGAGTCTCATTCTGTGGCCTGGGCTAGAGTGCCATGGTGTCAGCCTGGCTCACAGCAACCTAACTCCTGGGCTCAAGCAATCCTCCTGCCTTAGCCTCCCGAGTAGCTGGGACTACAGGCGCGTGCCACCTCATCTGGCTAATTTTTTCAATTTTTGTAGAGACAGGGTCTTGCTCTTGCTCAGACTGGTCTTAAACTCCTGAGCTCAAGCGATCCTCTTGCCTCAGCCTCCTAGAGTGCTGGGATTACAGATGTGAGCCACCGCACCTGGCCACCCAAGGAGTATTGTACCAGAAAAAGGCCCAACTTCCTTCTCTGGACTTTTGCAAATGCACGTTAGGGGCCAAAGCCAAGGTTCCTCAATCTTGACACAGCACTGTCCCTGAGTCCACAAACCCTGACCCTGCTCAACTGAGCCAACTCAGGGCTTCAACTCATGCCCATGAGCAGGCAGCCTCCCTCAACAATCTCAAACTCAGCACCCCTTACCTGATAATGCCCCACATCCTGACCCTGGATGACAGGGAATTGTTTTTCACCGACGTCATACACGTTAAAAACACCCAAACAGATGCACTAGCAAACAGTAACCAGAAAAGGGACAGAGGGGCCTAGGAACCAACCCTGGCCCTTTCTCATGTTCCAGACATTCATTCTGGAAACAGTTGGGTATCCAGTCCATGTTACTGTGTGTAGGCAAAGCATACAAAGGAGGTCAGGAAAATGATCAGTAAACACTCGCTAGGGTTAGGCCTTGCTGTGTCCTGATCTCTCCCACACCCTGTGGATTGGAATTATTCTCCCTCTGTAAATATGGGCCCTCAGGTTGGACACTGTCAACTGGCAGTGAGGAGCACCTCACACCCCTACACCCACCTCTCACCCCTGCATCCTCCTGGCTGAACCCCCACTGCCTCACCTGGACCCTGTTCTTGCACGTCAGGGAGATCTCCACAATGAAGACTGTTTCTGTGGAAATGACAGCATCTGAAGTGGTATAGTAAGAAGGGGTGATCTGGGGTTCCATGCAGGCCTCTGCTGTGGGGAGGAGGCAGAGAAACACCTGGGTTAAGGCCAGCTTTAGTGTGCTATGCTGAAGGCAGGAGGGACTGCAAGGCCTCACCACCCAGGCCCAGGCAGCTGAGGACACACAGGACCCTTCTGTCCCTTCCAGGGAGGATATGGGACTCAGTCCAAGTACTCGGTTGGAAATGCAGTGGCAAAGTGGGATGGCCATGACGGAAGGCAGGGGAGGCCTTGTAGAGGTGGGAGTTCCTTGCAACAGTGAAGGAAGAACATGTGTGTGTTGGGGGTGGGTGGAGGATGATTCACTGTACTACTCATGGCAGTGCCCACACCTACAATGGGCAGGCCATGTAATAGCCTGCCTGGGCCCTGAAATACCCTGGAAGCCCAGGGGGCCAGGCCAGCATCAATTCAGAGCCATGCATAGCCCAGTTTAGTGAAGGTGTCCTCGGCAGAGACACCAAGTGGGGTGCAGGCAGTACACAGGGCTTTCAAGATAAGGGAAAAGGTCTCTGCTTCCAGCCAGTTGACAGAAGGACAAGAGTGGTCCTAGTGTTTCCCAAGGGAAGCAAATGGAAAAGACTCTGGATCTGAAGGCACAACTTGTCCCCTCCAACTGGGCAGCTCTAACAGAAAGGTCCCTGGCTTAGCCATCTCCATAACCACAGAGGGCCACAGCACAGGAAGGGTGCCACCTACACAAGGGGGTGTGAAACAAATGCTACCCCAAGTGGGCAAGTTCTCAGCCAACTGCTCTCCGAATGTGATGCCCTGGCAGAGTGATGGCTTAAGCTGAGGAAATCAGAGGAGGTTTTGGGTGGGTCTAGACAGTAGGAGGCAGATGCCTGGGAATGAGTCCCACAGCCCTTCTGTGTCCTGCTGAGTTGGGTCTTTTTCCTGTGGACACTGTGGAGCCCCTGAAGGGTTTCACAGCCAGGTCTGTCCTTTGGAGATATCCCTGGCTACACAGAAGGGAATTCCTGAGGGGTGGGTGAGAAGGGTACAGGGAGGGAGGCCAGTGAGGCTGGTGAAACACTCCAGGCACCAAAGGCGCTGGCATGAAGTACAGCAGAAGAGTGAGCATGCAGAAAGCAGCCCCACCCAGCCCAGGACCCAGGCCAGGTGCTGGCTGCTACAACCACCTCCTAACCACCTTTCTGGACTCCAGTCAAAGCTCAAACCCACCACCAGGTGTTAAGAATCACTCAGGAATGTCACCCAAGGGGACAGCAGTTTAGCTCTGCAGAAAACCCTGGTAAGGGGCTTGGCACTCAAGGCCCACTCATCCCTCTCTTGCTCTCTGCCGCTCCGCTCTGCCTGGAACGTCCTTGCTCCCTGTACTCACTTAGCTTTCACTTCCTGGGGAAGCCTGGCCCGAACAGCACTGGCCCATGTGGCTCCCTGCTGCGATCACTCTGCGCTCTAGAGCTTTGCTTCTGGCCGACCCTCCTTTAGGAGCAGGAGCAGGAACACGTGTCACCCTGCTAGAGCTGGGGGCCGGAAAACGGTGGAGTCTCTGGGACTTTTCTTCGCATGAGCAGACAAGGAAAAGATATGGCTGTTTCTCCTGGCAGCCTGGCTGCTGGGTAAACGTGTGTGTGGTGCTTTGGTTGCCGCGCCCTGAGGTCACCTGCCTCTCGTTGGAAGGCCAGGACCGCAGCGACGGGCACCCAAAAGAGCCAGACCCTTGCTTCGCCCGCACCCTTCCGCCCCCCCCAGCACCACCTGCGTGGGACAGAGGCTCGCCAGAAAGAAGCTCTGGCCAGGCCGCTACCTGAGCAGCAGGAGAGGCCGGACAGCAGGAGTAGTGCCAGGCCGCCGAGAGATGCCATCGTCGCCATCGCCTCTTCTCTGCCGAGAGTAAAAGAGAGCGAACTCCCCTGAACACGAGGGCAGACGAGGAAGCGCGACGCGTAAGCAGTAGTGGCAGCCAATCACGCGCCGGCTAGCCTCGTGACGTTGCTGGCGGCACTGACGTGTCCCCTCCCCAAGCGGAGGCCAGCTAGTCCCGCCCCCCCACCAAGATGGCGACGGCAGCGGCGGAGCTGTAGGCGCCTGAAGGGAGCAAGGGAATCGGCGCGGCCGCGCGCGTGCGCAGTGTGGGGCCCGAGCCTGCCTCGAGGACTTCTCGCCCTAACGAACTCTCGCGAAGTCGGTGTCTGCACGTTGGGACGTGAGGTGGCTCTCACTTTCCATCATGGCGCTGAAGGTGGTGATGACCGCTGGCGGCGCTGCGAAGGCAGTACTCAGGCCGGCCCTTCTCTGTCGTCCTTGGGAGGTGAGCGGGGAGCAGGCCACGGGACAGTCACAGCGCTCGCTGGGGGTGGGGATTGGGGGCAGCTGCTCTCGGAGCAGCCTGGAGTCCGATTGGCTGTGGGCCCCACGCGGGGCGGGGAGAGGGCTGCACGCCAGGGTTGATTGGCTGCCTCCGCTGTCTGTGAGGAGATTGGCCGAAGTTGGCCCTGGCCACCCGTGGGGTCTGCACTTGGTGGCGGGGGTCTCTGGGCAGGCCGGGAGAGTGTGCCGCGGCGGCTGGGTGTCACTTCCTTAGTGTCCTTGTCGGAGCCCTCTGAGACAGTCACGTGTCCCGGCCCGCCTTTCTCGTACCGCTTTGAGAATCCCGTTCCTGGACTCAGATCCTTTACGGGTTTCCCTCACTTGGACAGCTTTTCCACCTGTTTTGGTGGCAAAGAATCAGACTTTGCTAGTCACCCATGATCCCTCTCACATTCTTATAGCCTCAGATGCGCTTCCCTTTGAGGCTCTTGGGAATGGGAGGGAGCCAGTGTTTCTAAGGCTGGCGGGGGCGGGAAGCTGTGAGGGAAGAGGGCATTTCTTCCGAAGTTCTGTGTCTGGGATCTTGCTTATTCAGATTCAATTCCTGTTTCCTTACACACACTTAAAATGAGGATAATTTAGGTCCCGGGTGGGTTAGAAACCATCTGAAGCAGCAGCAAGCCAGCTGGCCCCAGCATATAAGAGTTAGGGCCTCCAGGCCTTGCTCCTCCACTAACCCATTGTGTGGCCCTTGGCCAGTCCTCTCCTCTCTTTGGGTTCCAGTTTCCCCTCTGTCCAGTGAGGGGAGGGGTCTCAAAAGATCCTGCCAATACTGACCTTCCAGAACTTTGTGTCTTTGCTGACACTCTCCATGGACACTTCTGCTTGCTATGTTTCCTCCCTCTGATCCCTGCGGAAGCTTGTGCCTTAGGGAGTTGTCTTTAAAATGCTGACATCCAACTTGCTGATGGAAGAACTACAGTATATAGAGGCTTTTCAGAGGCATTGATGGCTCTAGCAGCTAGGTTCCTGTAGGCTCTTGGTGAAGATATTTGTCTCCTCTCTGACCTCCCCTGTGTGAGTGTGCTTGTGTTTGTTGGGGTGGGAGTGGAGCACAGTGAATGATTGGTAGCTGGGCAGTGCCTTGCCCTGAGACTGCTTTTCCTGGGTATGAGAACCTTTAGAGAGGAGCCCCAGATCTTGGGTCCCACTAACTGGGACCTCCTGGGAAAACATTCAGCTACCCTTGACACTTGATCCAGCAGAAACATGCCAAAGAGCAGAGCCTCAGTAAGCTTAAGATGTGGCATGTGGGAACCCTTCAGCAAAAGCACATACTACCCTGGACCTCTTTCTTTCTGTGTACCTATCAAAGGATGATAGAAGAGCAGGAGGCATGTGCATATATCCCATCCTGCCTCATACTGGGCTCCTTTGATTGGAAACTATACTAGGCATCCTGGGCACAGTGACCCCCTGAAGGAAAGTGCCTGCATCTGTAAAGTAATGTCAGGGAAGTCTCTATCTGGGGAGCTCTCTGGGTCATTTGCCAAAGCCCAAAGGAGTGTCTGGTGTAGGGACCAAGTGCAGGAGAGGTTCAGCCCTGGTGGTGACATTGCCATCCTTGGAAGGTGCACAGGCTTTCAGCCATGCCCAGTGGGGGTCCTCCAGAGGCTGGCTCACCCACAGCCACAGTTAAAGCCCAGGAGGAATTACTGTTGGGAGAAGCGGGAGTCAGCCCTACCTTCCCCACCAGAGACACCAGCCTTGAACTCTGATTGGAGGGACTGGTGGGTGAAGGGGCAGGCTGCTTTAGCACAGCTGGAGTCCCTGCTAGGGACTGAACAGCTCACATAGTTCCTCTTGTGGAATCTTTCCAACAGTCACCTAAAGTAGGCACCTTTGTTCTGTGGATTTCAGATGAAGACACAAAGCCATCTCAAGAGTAGCAGATGATAGATTTGAAGTGAGGTCTCCTAGTCTCCATTTCTTTTTTCTTTTTCTTTTTTTTTTTTTTTTTTGAGACAGAGTCTCACTCTATTGCCTGGGCTAGAGTGCCGTGGCATCAACTTAGCTCACAGCAACCTCAAACTCCTGGGCTCAAGCAGTCCTTCTGCCTCAGCCTCCCAAGTAACTGGGACTACAGGCACATGCCACCATGCCCGGCTAATTTTTTTCTATATATTTTTAGTTGGCCAATTAATTTGTTTCTATTTATAGTAGAGACGGGGGTCTCACTCTTGCTCAGGCTGGTTTCGAACTCCTGGACCTTGAGCGATCCTCCTGCCTCAGCCTCCCAGAGTGCTAGGATTACAGGCGTGAGCTACCGCGCCCAGCCATCTTTCTTCATTTTCTGATGTGCTTGTTCACTCAGCAGATGTTCCTTGTGTTCCAGCTCTGGGTCAGGCACTGTGCTGTATACCTGGAGTGGCAGTAGGAGACCAGACAGACATGGCTCCTGCTCTCAGTGGCTTAGGGGTTAGGGAGGAGGCAAGGCAGCCATAACCTGGAGAGATGTTCCCAGATGGTGCCCAACTTAACAGCCGTGGGGCATCAGGGAAGGCTCCCTGGAGGAAGGGCTGTCTTAGCCACCTTCTCCAGGGGTCCTCAGACTTTTTAAACAGGGAGCCAGTTCACTGTTCCTCAGACCGTTGGAGGGCCTTTGGACAATGCGGCACACATTCCACACATGTGCACTGTGGGCCCGGGACGAGTCGGCTGTTAAGCAGGACAGGCAGCACCGGCAAAAACATCTGGCAGGCCAGATAAATGTCCTTGGTGGGCCGCATATGGCCTGTGGGCCGTAGTTTGAGGACCCCTGTTCTAGGCACTTATATTGAGAACGTATAAATAAGATGATTCCAGACCTTGACAAGTGCTAGAAAGGACACAGAAAAGTCCCAAGTGTGCCTGTGGCTGTAGATCCAGGTGCTGCACAGATCAGCTGAAGTACCTCGGGGCTCTGGTCCTAGTAGTCACCACCTCCTAACCCCAGGCTTGGGGCCAGTGAGTGGCACACCTGCACTGCCAGAGCTCGTGCAAGTGGGCCACTTGGGAATGCTGCCCAGGTGGACCCAGACAGGGAACGGTCAGACTCTACCTGAGCCTTCTAGACTTCTAGTGGGAAGGCACAGCTCTTGGAAGAATGGCCATGGTGCCTCTCCCATTGGCTAGAACACTCACCTGCCTCGTATGCATGTTGTAGGGTGTCTCCAAGTGACAAGGAGGACCTTGGCTCTGCCACTATCTCGAATGTATTCCTAGGTGGGTGGGGCATAGTAGGGAGGAGAGGAAAGCCCTCCTGCAGTGGGACCTGGGACATGGGCACCTTTTCTCCTTCCAGGACAGTGGGTCACTTCTTAGCACGTGGCCCGCTTGGCTTAGCTTTTACTCTGAAACTGTCAGGTGTTTCCCACTCAGAGGGTTGGGGACATTTGTCATCTGGCTAGACCATGAAGCAGCTTTGCAGTCCTTTCTGAAAGCCTTCCTAGAGATTGAATCTGTTTTTAATCTTCTAGAAATGGCTCAATTTCCATTTGCTTTCAGTTTCTACTCTAAGGGGCCTTTACCCAGGGGGCTGGCAGTGCTTGTCTCAGGGACGCTTGTTATCTCATCTCCCTGTTCTGCTTTTTCTATAGTGACCGTGTGCTGCTTTTGTAATATGGAAAAATGATAAAAGAAGTGATAACATTATTGTTGTTATGGACCTGTGGTTTATTGTAATGATTTCCCTATGGTACCAGGTTTAGTTTGCCAATTTTCCCATGTTACAAACGTCACCGAGCAGGAATAATTGGCCAAAACAGAATCAGAAGCGAAAAAGTGGGGGAGATGTATGTTTTTAAGTAAATTGACCAAAGAGCTGAAGGATGCAGGAAGGGGTGAAACCACTTTGCATGGTGCTTCAGTGGGCCAGTCCTTGGAAAATAGAGGCTTTGGAGCCATCTGTCTTGGGGGCATATTGTGTGCTATTGTTCACGGGATGGTGGCACACAAGTGGGTGTGTATCTGGGCACAGCCAGCCCTGGCCAACTTTACTTTCTGAGCTGGACGACAAACATTGGTATTTGGGTTCTTTTTGCCAGGTTCTAGGTGCCTATGAGGCCCCCTGGAGGAGCATTTCCTCAGTAAGTACCTGCCTGTGTGTGTGTGTGTGTGTGTGTGTGTGCGCTTACACATGTGTGTTTGTGTGCATGTATGTGTTTGTGTGCACATGTGCCTGTGCCTCTTTGCCTTCTGGTCTTCTGAGTCCTTCCCTGTGAGGTGCCGTCTCCAGAGGTTACCAACTTCTCCCCTTCCCTGAATTGTGCTAGACAGCATCCCCAGGGAAAAGACCCTAGTTCCTTGGTCACAGCCTTGTTCTTCCAACCTTGGCTGATTATGTCTTCTTCCTTTCTGTTTTCCCTCTAGCAACAAACAATTGTGAGTATTCTTCTTCTCCTCTGCCTGTTTGATTTGGGGGCTCTTAGATGCCTTGGACCAAAGTCCAGGTAGGGGTGGGGACTGCTGCTGACCAGGAAGTCCCAGATGAGCAGCCCTGTCTGGGATGGGGGTACCCCAGATTGGCACTTTGAAGTTAGCCAGCCTTTGGGATCAGTGCTGGTGGGCAGAAGGGAACTGGCTTGAGCTCTTGGGCACTGAGCTGGGGAGCATGTGGGAGTAC